GTGTGCCTGGGGCATTGTGGGCCGGGATCCACCCAAACTGGATAATTAGACTGCACGGAAAAGGGTCGACCCGAACACCACAACCTAGGAACTACCACTTCCCTTTGTGGTGTGTGAAAGAAAGGAAATAATTAGCAGCTATCAAGACCCTTCTCTTTTCCGCCCTCCCACACAACACGGACATTTGTTTCGTTTTAGATTCTGAGACGAGGATTTGTTTTGTCTGTAATCGGTCAGACTGCGTGTTGTAACCGTTCCCTCCGAGAGTGGTACATCCGGAGATAAACACTAGGTCTGTAGCCTAAGGCCTGTGTCGTTCGTATTTTTGCCATGGCCCCTCGCATGAGAGGTCAGAGGCTCAGGCAACGCAGGGGTAGAATTTAACAACACTGGGCCCAGATGGCATCAAAGGTAGGTCAGAGGGGTTAAACATCCACACTGGCAGCACTCGCAAAGGCCTGGGAGAAACTGCAGGGATGGTATCTTGGCACGAGACAGTGGTTTGAACCCAGAAATAGAAACAATGTAGGGGCAGACAACTAACATACTTTTGGTACCAGGGTGGGGGTGGGGGGCAGGAAGAGAAGGACTTGATAGCGTTCTTATGTAACAATACGTAAGTCCCACTTTACACACCTTTGTTTTTGCTGTCAAGCTTGACATTGATTGGCTAATGTGTTTGGGACCTGTCAGTGTCAGTACAGTGTAACTGATTGCATGTGGACTCACCTGTTTTTCTGTGCATACCAAACAATGACATGATCATGCCATACAGTAACACAACACAATAGTTTATCTATACTGCAGTATATGCTATATGTTATAGGTACTGTGTGGTTTAATAAGTCTGGTTAAACAGTAGAAGTTAGGACCCTTTTTCCGAACTATGTCTACTATGTCTATGCGGTAACTCAGTATCCCTAAGATATCAGGCTGTTAGGGCCAAGGAAAAAATGTTGTGTTTTTTCTGGTCACCTGACTGACCCTAGCAAAACCCCACCAAACCTAGCCAACTGCTGGTAAGGCTATCAAATTTTTGAACCCGAAAAGTCATTTAATGAATTTTCAGAAGTAATTTTTTCTTCAATAATTCTTGTGAAATATTTGTCCACGAGCAAACAGGTGGACGGGTACTTGAGAGTTGAGACAGCCCCGGGGCAAATTGTAAACTTTATTTGTTGGATCATTTGAACCAAAATCTAAATAAAAAACTTTTAGAAATCCCTACCAACCCTAGCTTTTTAGGACTGAAACCAGAAACACAAGATTAATTTCCCCAGGCCTAGGCTAATCCTCCTTCCTGTACAGATGCCACTTTTCCTGCTTTCACTCTTTACTAGGGAATTGGAAACCCCTCACAGATAAAGGACAGTGCCCTATACAAACACGACTTGTGTCACAAGGCATGAAATAGAAAGTGTCCCCCTCTGTTCACAAAGAGCTTTTGTCCAAACTTTGACCCCGTAACCTCACCAGGTGGGCCCTACGCAACAGGTACTGCTATATACATGTAGAGACCTCTGTACTTCTTGGTTTATTAATTGGATCATTCATTCATGTGTGACATAAATGATTACAGGACTTCATGTTCCTCTCTGCTGTTTCTCCCACAAGGGATTTGACTTCAAAGAATGCTGGGCCGAAGTTAAATAATTTAGAATTCTTCTAGTATGGTTTTGAAATAGCCCTTTTGCCAGCTGGTCAGAATACAGTGGGCTCTTGTAACAAAGAACCAATCAAATTTTACATGACAGAAGGTTAGGCGTTTGTCTATTTATGGTGACCTAAACCAGATTGACTCACTTGCAAATGAGAGGTGATGAGTGTGGATTTCATCATGCTGCACCCCTATTCAGGAGTGGTCCGACCCAGATGCACATTACCATCACAATTAGCGGCATGTTTTATTTACAGCCAACAGGGGCTGCCATGTGTTCCTTTGTTCCCAGCTTGGTTTTTGCATGCATTTGTCCAGTGATTTCATTGTCAGTTTGAGTCAAGCTTCCTGGAGTGTGGCTGTGTGCCGGGCCCCTAAAGCAAACCAAGCAGCCCTGCATTGTGAGAAGAACAGACCTCAGAGTAAGTGCTTTAGAACTTGGTTCTTTCCAATATCTTAGACAGAAGCTGGTGTGTAGTGAGAGTGTGCTTAGATCCCAGGTTTACTTACGTGTGATAAACTAGATGACCAGACCCGTACAGTGGCTTGCGTGATATGCCTACCTAACTGTCTGCCTGAGGGCTGTCTGTTGTGTGTATAAGTATTACAAGGGGCAAGAACCTTCCTGTGGTTTTTGTAGGTCAGATTTCCGGCATAATGTTGCCAGGAATTCCTCGGCTTGTATCCTGGAGGAGGGTACAGTGTAGTTGTTGGTATCTGGGTCCCACTGTCTGTGGGTAGGGCCCAGATTGTCCCTTGGCCCGTGCCTCCACAAATCTTCTTTGTGTGTGGGAGTCTGTTGATATGCATGGCAGGGCGGACAATGGCAGCTGCACCTTTGTATTTATCCGGGGTGTCATGTCAGCGTGCCCCGAACACTTCCCCCAGCTGTAAATGTGCCGAGATGTTATCCCCATCCCTGTGATCTACTGTCATCGTCTCGCCAAAACCCCTGTTGTGTAGAAATCTGCAGATTTGTTTGCTCTTGATCTACGTCCTGAATATGTATACAGCGTGACCTCTGCCGGGGAGATGAGTAAAATTAGCATGACGTCAGCTGGCCCCCTTCCCACATAGGGCTATGACATCATTAGGATTCTAACGGGCCCTCCCCCTGAAAGCAGTGTTTGTAATCCCCTCCAGAGTGAAAAGGTACAGAACTTTTATCTCCTTTATTGTCCGTAATGACAGCTTAATCTCTTCTGCGCTCGTCTTTTGGACCAATATATTGGGGTGGACAGGTGTAAGTCTGGATACGGTTATATGTCATACAGCTCACTTTGACATCAGTCTTTTGGCATGGCAGGGATTGGGATGGGATAAGATTTGTGCATGTTTTTGTTCCACAGCACTGTTTTAATGTTTTCGCACACCCCTAGCATACCAAATGGAGTCGCCCTCCCACCTACTAAGTATATCAACAGTGTGGTGTGTTGCCCTTTGGGAGCCTGGCGCCATCCATAATCTCCTACCCACCAAAGGGTGATACATGCGGAATGGATGGCAGTCCCCTAGGGTGGGACGCTACAGCTGCTGCAGGGGCAAGTTCACTGTCCATAATTGGCTAATAAGAACTAAGCCGACCTTCCGGCGCAGTGCCATATGAGAGGGACATGTTGATAGGCTATTATCACTGCCCCAGTTTGGGAAAACGGGTTTCCCTTAATGACGATTCACCGCTAGACTGTATTCCGTCTCAATTGAATCAGACAGGAACAGATGAGTCGGAATCTTCTAGTAAAAACGAATGCCGGCAGTAAAATGAAATGTACCCAGACTGAGAAATAGACAGAAATTTGAATGCTGTCAAAATTTAGTTGCATGGATTTTGTGAAACGTTACGCATGTTTCGATTTTACATGGACGTGTCAAGCTAGTTTTGATATCGTAATTTCTATAAATCATTTCCTACTGATCTGGATCGAAGGGTTTTCTACTTGTCAATTTACATCTGTATGTGATGCTACCACGGAGAATCAACAGACCACAAATTACACAGCGCTTTTTCAATTCATCTCACATAAATAATGCATGAAATCAGGCCGGTGTCGGGCTGCAATCTGCATTTCTGGTAGTCCATGTCGCCAGCCAGGCAGAACATAATCAATATTGAAATCAAAACGGACAATATTCACACCACGGAATGCGCAAACAGGGTCAAATGCTGCTGTACAAAATTGTATCATATCAAGATTCAAACTAACCGTAGTATGTAGTGCCAAAACCAATCAGTTGTATATGGCGAAAATAGAAATATCACATGCCTTCCAAAATGTATGCATTCTCGTACAGTATCGGTAAAACTGTTCTTTTTTGTTGTTGTAACAGCATCAGTTCAAACTGGTCATTCTGTTGGACAAATATTTCTGAAAGGGTTCCTGTATTTTTTTCTATGTCAGTACTGGTAGTATTAGACCTTCGATATTTTTAATGCCACAATTTAGTCTTCTATTATTCAACTTGTACAACTTCTCCAGACAAAATTTTCATACCTGTAATTGTTTTAGACTTGTCAAACACAGACTGACATGTTTTCCAGGCAACATGTACATCTCAAGCAATTGTGAAATTAACAATGACATGTTTTCACAGGTCTACAAGTACCATACATCTGCATACAAAATGTATTGTTTTCTTAACAATCATGCAAATATGTAATTGCATGTATGCATAGTTCACCCACTCACACCACAACTCCAAAAACTCCTTTGCATTTCTGTACTTGAGATAACCAGATTCTAAAACAACATCTTCTGTTTACTGTAAGCTATTAGCTATTACATGTACATGATTCTCATCCTTATAAATTATAGGTGTATATGAGGAAAATTATATGTGTGCTCAATTAACACAGAGCATGCATTCTGTTATCCTTTATAGACTTGGCATTTTCTGCAAGGATTTGATGAGTATATTGTGCATACTTTGGTTAGGGTGCCACTAATTACTGTGTCTAGCAAGTGAACAATAGAACACCTGGTATTAGTTTGGGACAGTTATGCTTTAATGGACTAACACAAAGGCCTGTTACAAAGAGAATATCACGAAGATCATAAAAAGGCTAAGCCTATCAGATCTAGAGCTGTCGCTTTCCTGTCAAAATTAACTGTAAAATTCTCCAGGTGGCAAGAAAAAATCTTTGTGGGCCACATTTTCAATCCCAGCTTGTATTGTTCTTGTCGTTGTTTCTCTATTGTTCTCTCACATGAGTACGCACACGCAAGATAAGTCCTTGGGCTGATGTAGAAGTGTACAAAAGACCTGCGTATTCCTTTGTCTTTCTGTTTTGATAGTGAAAGTCCCTATGCAAATGACAAAGCGAGTGTTTCGCACCCTTATGATAGTTACCGTCAATGGCACTTCTTGTGTGGGTCCCAAATCATGGACACTGATAAGGTGTGAATAAGAATCTAAATGTGTGAAGAACCATTGAGCACAGATTATCTCCCAGAGCATGCTAATTGTATTCTAATTGAAAGAGGTTGCATTTTCCCAGCTCTGGTGGTGCTATAGGGGAGATCATTAAGAATTTATTGTGTCGGCAATCAGTCATGCGCCGGCAACAAATGAAGTGAGACGTGAAAGTACTCGGGTGTGACGAAGGGGGGACCGGCAATCAATAGGTCACAACAACTCACCAGAATTACTCATTCTGGGACGTGTTAACCTTGACCACCGCGGCTATCATTCTCCACCGCCGTCCTCTGCTTTACGTGTTAGGAAAATAAGGTAGATCATTTGCACGTCTTTCTGACATCGGAAAATGAACATGTAATGGCTGTAATTTCGATTTCATGATTTCTCGCATCATCTATATGTAGATGTGGCAATTTTGAAGCCAAGGTTTCTCTAAGTGAAGGTAAATTGGAATCGCATGTTTTATTGCATAGTTTTCGTGCTACAGCTTGCTTGGGGGAATGCTTTGCAAGAATGTGAATTAGGCCGAGGATGTATCGTGAATGCACAAAACGTGTGGCGGCAGACTTACGGAAGGATTGCTTATAAATAATGCAAGAGATTCGGGGTGCGTTGGTGGCTATCATCCGTAAATGGGCTATCCTGACCGATGTAGTGGTATAATTGTGTCGCTATGATGTGTTAACAGATCCCAGCTTCTGATATGCTGTGTTGAGGCATTGCGTCTTGTGTGTGTGTGATGGTTTTAGATATACATTGTAACTGATACATATTGGAAATTCTTATAGCTAGCAAATGTATATTTACATCATTTGGTAGACTAATTATCCACCTGTCTATCACTACCTGTCTATACAAGTTAGTGTAAATAACAATGCTTTTCGTTGGACTCTAGTCTGCTAAACATTTTCTCGTTTACAGATAAAAAGTCTAATATTTCGTAATCATTGATAATGGGGATGATTTGGGGGTGTACTGTAGTTTTAAAATTGTATAATTTGATAATCTATGTGAATTCCATTTTTTTAATAAGAATTGATATGTGCTTGAAAATATTGATAATTAATGCAAAACATTTTCACCTGTTTGATCAACATCAATATTATCGTTGTTCTTACATGTATTAGTCAGCACGTTTTTCCCTATTTTCACACAGTTCTTCGTAAATCCCTACAGGTCTACACTGTCTCTAGATAACGATCGTTGTGGTTTGTTTCGCAGAAGTTGCAGCTTTCGTCATCTCGGAGGAAGGCTGAGGCGGTGATTGTGATTGATGGTAGCGACAGTGAGACGGAGTCAGCACGGAGTTCTGGTAGCCGCGGGACCGCCGCGCCGACGCATGTCTCCTCTCCTGGGTCACCGGCAGGAGGGGGTGCGTCCGACACAGGTGAGGCCAGGCACAACCATTTAGAGAAGTCTTGGAGGGGTGATCAGCCTGTGTCACACATTCACGAGTTTGGCCTCCCGAATTCTAGCCAAATGCCCCCCAACTATGGTTAGGAGTAGGTTGGTGCGAAGTCGGCTGGTGTTCAGCGAATTTGGCTACTATTCGGCTGTGCCAGCGGAATGTTTCAAAATGTTAAAGATATTCAGTAGTGGGTTGAAAAGTTTGGACTATATTTGGGAGCAAATTAGCAGTGTTCTTAGCACGTTTGGGGTCAAGTTTGACACAAATTTAACTCAAATTCATTTCAATTTCTATAGAAAGGTAAGCACAGCCTAAATCTGGTCAGACTGCTCTTAAACATCAGCCAAAACTGGTCGGCCGGTGTTTGGGAACAATTCGGGGAAAGTCACGAATGTTTTTGATCCAACACAAGAATATACTTCATCAGCTGCTGTGATTGCTTGCATGTAGGCCATATGTCACTAGTGTATTCCCACAAGCGATCTATTTCCTTGTTAACCCTGCACCTTTTCAAATTTGGATAGTGGTGCTACTACACTTTCATGTATCCATGGTTCCGGATAAACATTATAGAGTTCACCAAATTGGTAGCAGTTTTTCTTTCTGTCATTGAATAATTGACTGTAACAATTTCTGTGTTCCATGCTTATCACTCTTACATGTTTCTTGATAAGTTTGTAATTTAGTGTAGTGCCATTGTTACAACTTACGGATTTATCCGTTAATATTAAATTTAAGGTATGCGAGTCTACAAGTCATTAAGCATTTGTCGAAACAGGACCCATTTCCCGGTGAGAGATTGTTGTTATAGACTGATCCTGACCTTGACACTCGTGTTGTTTGTGTAGCTGAGAGTGGCAGCAGAGCTATGTGCTGTCAGTCAAAAGAAAGGTCTTAAGTTCAACTCACCTCCTGTGTAACTTCAGTCACTCTAGTCATGTTTTCTCTTCAGCTTAGAAAAACGATAGGAATGTGATAAGGTTTTCTGTGGTTAATGATTGCTAATCAACCGGGTTTGTGGTGTATTTGTGTTAAAAGATATAGTACAGTGGTGCCATACCCAAATACATGTACATTGTAATCGCAGATATTGAGATGTTGTATGGAATATAGACATGGAAACAGGCTAGGACAAAAGCAGGGAAAATGCTTTTGTCACTGTATTACTTTGCTGGAATGTCAAATTGGTCTTGGAGTACATCTTGTCGCACAGGGCTTGAGCATTCAAGTGAGCCGCCATTGTCTCAGGTATCGGCTTAGCCAGCAGCTGATACAACGGAGAGTGGCACCCCACTTTCTCTCGGGATGCACCACCTAGCAGAATCGGGTAAAACTGCAGTCAGGGGATTGCTTATATTGCAGGAGCCCAAGCGTGACTGTGTTATTTGCCGTTTAGGAAGGGAACAGTTTATAACCATTACACTTGCCACCCCAGCCCACACATGCCCCACAAGGAATTGACGCATTCTATCCTACTGACGCTCGAAGGGCTGGCAAACCTAACCTACGCAGTATTTATCTCTCCCCTCAAGTGGATTTAATGACACCGCTTTCTGCGCAAGTTTTGCCCTACCTTTAACCCTTTGGGATAAGTATGTGTTCAAGTTTGCATCTTTTTTTGCCAAGTTACGTCCCATGGAGCGTGAGGTCATTACTCGCGATTGGGTCAATAAGCAAGAGGAAGGAAAGGAAACAGATGGATGCTTCACGTTGTATTTCTCCAAATGCATGCCCAGAGCTATTTGCATAACATTATCCTGGGCCGGGGAAGTGCCCACACGTATCTACTCCCATCTCAGAAAAGCACTTTAAGGGTGTCCGATCAGGTCGGACTTTCCTTCCATAAAGCAAGGTTACTTTCCCTTTTTAGGGTCTTGGAGCCATTTAGTCGGTCCTGATTTATCTGTGCGAGTCAGCCGCAGGTAATATCGGACACAAAGAGCGCCGTTCCAGGTTGATTTGTGGGTCTGTGGAAGTGATGCTGCGTTCTGGTATGATGGCTGGGCAGATGATACATAGTGATGGTGCGGTGCGCGTCGATCGATGGTATTGTTTCTTTTTTAGTTCATCCTGGGAAATTGACCCAGCGGAAAATGTGTTGGGAGGAATTTAATCCCCTCTTTTATGGTGACTTTTGTGACCCGTTATCTTTCATTTGCTATTGTTCTAGTGTTATTTCATGTATTGGTAGAAACCCAAAGCATTGTAATGTGTGATATGTACAATTTATGCCAAAGGTTAGTGGTTAACTTACAGAATACTAAAACTACTATTGCACATGTGAAAAATAAAAGTGAGCTCAGCGTCAGATATCAAGAAACATGAAAACAACTAACCACAAAAGAATCTTTTTGCTTTGTTATGATATAATAGAATACAAAAATGACTTCTTGAAATGTTGAGGTCTAATGCCCTTTGAAGGCTGATCAAGTTGGCATTCCTTAATTAACTGTCATACCACTGCCATGGTCGTCCAGGGAGACAGCACCGTACAGCTGCCACAAACAGAGACGTTTTTGTCACTCCGCGCTTCTGAGCAGCTTTTATCGTATTGACCCCGACCTGGCTCGAAAAAGGTGGTGAACAGCGGCACGCAAGTTGGTATTCATGGGGTAAGTGCACTTAGCGATCGCCGCGCAACCCCACAAATATGCCTCACACTGGGCACTTCCACATCAATAAAAGCCATGGTCACCTCACGGTTAATCAGTCGTGTTTCTCAGAATCTGTATTGGCTATTACCAGGGAACGTTTTTGCCGTTTTAGCTCTTTCCGACATGTCATTCAGTCCCTGGCCTTAATCTGTTAACAGTGCCGGTCGGTAAGGGTGGCAGGGGAAAGATTTACTACGTTTACTGCCAGCAATAGCCACAAGTGGTGTTCTATAACCTTGGTGATGGGCATCAGCTTGATTGGGAAAGGCCCCAGCAGACGCAGTCATGTGGAAGCAATAGCACCAGGAAGTGTTCCTCAGCGGGGAATTAAAACGAGGAGAGGCCCCGCCGTTATCTCTTCTCCGTCATTTACCTGAGTGCCTGCCTCCTGTCGGAAAGGGAAAGTAATTGAGGCGCATTAGGTTAAATACAGTCCAAGGGGAGGTAGCGGGTTTGACGATGTGAAAAATGGCAGCTTGTATGTGCAAGCTACGTGCTACAGCGGCACCTGCCAGGCAAGTTGCCTTGGCCCCTGCTGTTAAAAGGTGATGTCTTCAGTTGACAGGGCACAGCGGGGAGCAAATGCTGAGGGCATGTCACCAGGGGCCAGGGCCGCAAAATCCCACATCACCAGGCCTGCCTCTCTAGATCTGGCAATTAGGGAACAGCGTGTGAGAGACAGGGGTAACCTTTTCAACTGTCAATAGGTCAGCCTGGAGCCCTGGCCTGGTGGATGTTATAGTTGTGATGGGATGGCTAGATGTGGTTATCAGAACCCACCAAGCATTCTTCACTGGAGCGAGCACTGATCGGAAAGATGGCACTACCACTTTGCCCGACACAGGGGTGGGATTTTTAGAGTGGCATGTTACCCCGACATTGTACTCCAGGTTAGGCCTAACCAGCTTTCAATCCGGTAATAGATTTTTATGCCCACAGGGAATAAATTAGATCAGGTTGGCTGGTGCCAATCTGCGATTATGGCAGTCATTATCCTTCCAGTAATGCAAATTTCTCCTGATTATTGGTTCGGTTGTGGCGGCTTTGACGGTGTACATGGTGTGTCAGCAGATGAGTCGGTTGATGCACTTCATGCATTTATTAATATTAATAATCATTTTTCAGGCATGGAAAGGGCAGGTCAGCTCCATTTAGCCAGGGAAAATTGCATGGACGATAAATCATATGTCTATGATAATGCCCGGATTGATGGCACGGGGCAGGCTCGGTTTTTGCGTTATCTTTCCAGCGCTGCAAACGCTGCGGGGCGCGCGATACGTCTGCCCCGGGAAGGATGCTTCCTTACGCCATCGCTTTTAATGCCTACTTACAGCCGAGTGATCAATGGATTATGTGAGACGTGGTATAATGGAAGGCAAATGTTCCGGGCGGCAACGCAAGCAAGCCACGCGTCATGTCTTATTTCATAAAGAATACCTATTGTGTGCTACAGAGAGCTTACCGTCTGATCTCTGGTTCAACTGGCAAGAAAAGCAGGGGCACCACATTGTAGATTTCAGATAAAATTGTATTGAATGTTCCCTGGCACAGTACATATACCGGGGGTAGTACTTTCTATCATGGCATGATTTCATTGGTGCAGCCATTATGCAGAGTGATTGGTGTAATGTGCCAATTGATGTTGATTATCCCCAGGGAAATGAAACATCTGCCTGTTTGTTTTGCCGAGTTATGATAGGCTGCGCCACTTTTTCCACGGGGGTGGGCTTGGCCCAGGGGTTTCTGTGGGTTCTCGTTGTTATTCCAAGCCTTACCGAAAATCAACAAAGGAGGTGGCTTGGCAAGCGGGATGAGGGATTATTTGAGATTTGTGCCCCTGGTGTAGCCGGCACCTAGGTGATATTTGCTGTGCCAACAATGGGCCCGGCTCCCCCACAAGTCAAGTGACCCCGTCCAGTAACCTCCGGCAGTCGACAGGTCCCATTAAACCTCTATTTGTTGGTCGAGCAATCAAAGTTGATATATGCGGGTGAAAAGTTGCGCGGTTCATTGTGATACGAGGGCCACACGCCGATGGGAGGACGGCCATGGCAGGGCACAACGGCAGCTTCTTCCTCCCAGACATGACCTTCAGCCTGTTTAACCTGCATCCCTACCCGCCGCTAAACGGTGAGATTTTCTTGTCGCATTTGTGGTCGATGTGGACATGTTTGCCCCAGCCTGAGGGTGACCCCTGAGAGGGACCTTTTGTTTGGTGTGCCTGCGAGCCACTGGGGCAGCCGGCATTGTTAACACTAAAGGGCCACGTCCTTTGTGTAAAATTACCTGGACAAAAGTCAGTCGTGACGCACGTTGTAATCAACC